AACGTAACTCCCCCCCTTTTTTAAACGCCGACAGTTATCCAAACCTTATAAATTGCTCGAAGGGATTAAGATTGGAAAGACAGTCAAATTAAAAGAAGGGATAAAGTGAGATATGTTTAATGTTAATTTTCAATTTTGAAAATTTTCTTATTTAATTGAAACTATTAATTATTATTTTATTGATAAATGTCAGAAAAAGAGGAGGAATGATAAATGCATTAGAAATTGAGAAAAAAGTAACGTTTTGGAAAGCGAGGGTAAACATTTATGCATGTTATTTTAATTAAACGTTACTATGTAAATGTTAAATTTCATGAGTTGTAATCAATGATTATATTTGAAAGAACATTTGATTTAAAATGATGATTAGGGAAAATATATTTTATTTAATTAGTTATATTTAAGTAAGTTATTTTAGAAAAAATGTCATTATATATACACTTTTAGTTGATATATGTGATTGTCAAAGGAAGTAAAGTGAACGAATACACTTTTAAAGAGGTTTTGGAAATGTGCGTAGTATGTTTCTAAGTTATAGTAATATTACTTTTGTAGCTATTCCGGATTTTAGCTTTTTACTTTTATGCTCTATATCAATGAAATAAATTTGCAACTCACCCTTCATATTGATGGACATGAGATATGAATGTTGTCATTTTTGCATTAATACTGACACAATGATTTTATTTTTCATAGAATTATATTAGTTTATTGCATTACTTTTAGATTATGTTAAGATGACATTTATTCGCTAGTAGACCAATAATAAATATTTATAAGAGATTAATACATGCTGTGAAGAATGATAATAATGCATATATGAATGCTTATATGTGTATGCCAAGAAGAGTTCATCCTCTTATTATATCAAAAGGAGACGCCAATATACCCGCGAGTGTATATATTGACTTATCACCTCAGATAATTTTTAAATTAGATCATTAAGCACCATGCAGACGGGAGAGTATTTACCAGGGAATAGTAGACACTTTCCACCTTAAACAATAATGGATATGTTTTGCTTTTCACCGTACTGACGAGATATGTATGAGCCAGGAGTGTATTATGTTATGTTTAGATGGTTCCTTTAAGACTGATGTGAAATTTGAGAGCATGAAGTATACTAAAATTAAAGATTAAATCTTCAAAAATAATACTAGAGATACTGCATATAGAATTATAGATTATTTCTATGAGCAAATATCATGAATAATTATTTAGATTATTTTATAATTTTTCTATATCATAATAAAAAAGACTAGCATACATTGTCTTTTTTTCTTGAGTTACTATAGTTTAAAACCGTAATTATTTCATTGAGTTATTTTAGATAGCTCATTATATCGTTATAATATTCTTTAGGTTTAAATTTTTAAATAAAAGATTACTAAAGGGGAGAATGTGTACAAAAGGCAAGGCCAATAAATGAAAATGTACTTATTATTGTCAATGAAAATATTTTAAGTGACTATTTTAATTTATATTTGAATTGTAAATTGTTAGTGATAGTAAATGAAAATAGAAAATTTTAATTTCACTGTTTGATTGTCCGTTTATGTCTTAGAAATTTTCTGAGTTGGGTCATGATAAAAGTGACTGTAGAGCTAATTTATATATTAATCATAATAATAAAAAGCCATTAAGATGATTGAATTAAGCTATAAATATTAAAAACTAAAATTTTAATAGTTTAATTTAGATTATTTTATTTTATTTTAGATTTATGGATAATCTTTAGGAAGAAATCATACATGATAATGCATGAGCTGATATGTCTCATGATATCACAATTGATATTAATGCTTTTTGGATATGATGAATGACTCAACTTATTAAGAATTCTCAGCCTCAAACCGGTAGCAGTGAGAGAACACAAATTGGCAAGTACTTGAGGCTCATTCAGAATGTGAGGCCACATTTTTTTTTAAAAGATGGATCTGTGAAAGCTAAAAATTAATTGATGAGGATAGAGAAGATTATAAATGATATGACATATTCACTAGAGGGGAGAGTTATTCTTGCTATATTTGCCTTTAAGGAAGTAGGGAGATAGTGGTAAGCATAGTCGCACGAGAAATTCAATGGCTGAAGTAGCCACTTAGTGCTGGGGGAGGAATTTGTGAAATTTTTATAGATTGGTTCGCACCATTATTAGCCAAGAGATATGTTCAAGATAAATTTTTTAGGTTGGTACAGAGAAATCGATTGATCATGCAACATCGAACTGAGTTTAGTAGGCTTTCGAGATATGCACCACAACCAATTCCAAATACAGATGAGAAATATTACATATTTTTGCTGGATTGAAAAATTTAATCAGACAGTCTCTAATATTACTTTGAATTGAAGACAATTCAGTGCTAGTGGAGAGGGATGGACGTGTAAAAATTGATTTTGCAATAGACTTAGAAGTGTAGGGACATACACAAGAAGAAGATTTTAGAGGAAGTGGTACCTACAATTTATTTGGAGGATCTAATGTGAAGATGGTAAAGTCATATGCTGATGGAGTTAATAGCTAGACTTATAACAACACTTCTAAACCTTGTGTTAAGTATGAGAAACTACGTCATGATGAATGCTTACTTGGTTCTAAAGTATGTTATTTCTCTTCAGATGAGGAATTGCCATATTTTTGCTCAAATATCCACATGAAATGCTTACTCAGAAAGGGATTTGACTCAGAATTTTTAGGAGGGATCTACTTTTAGAAGTAATCAACAAAAGATGACTGAAGCTAATATAATGACTTATAAGAAGCAATAACGACAAAACATTCAACTGAGAGTATATTCTTAAACTCATTAGGAACTTGAAGAATCTTTTGGTATTGATATAGATGTTAATAGTTTGATGAGTGATTTGATATATGGATGTCATATTGAGTATCCTTATGCAATTTTATTTTAGAAGTTAAGTATTGTGTTAGTTATGTTATCTTGTTTAGAATGTGATGTTATTTTAGTTATGTTATTATGTTTTAAATGTTTGTGGATTGTTTAGTTGAATTATCTTATCTCGGATGTTAGATTTATCATATCTATTTTTTTTTTTTATCAATTAACATGAATTATACTTCTTTGAAGACTTTTGGATAATTAATATTTCTTCTGCATAATGATTTGATTTTGTGAAGTTCACAAATTTTGAGGATGAAATTTTATAAGGATTAGAGTTTGTAATAACCGTAGAAAATAATTAATTAATCAATATGATTTTTTCCCTAATTGATTGTGTCGTTCCAATTTAAAAAATTCATGTCATATTTATTCGACAAAAAAATTATGTACGCTAACTGTCGACTACCTAAAAAAACATATAGTTTTTTGCATGTGAGATTTGGGACCCAACAATGATAGTGTTGTATAAAGATCGTAATTTATTAGAGTTAAATGAAAATATGACACTCAATAGGACACAATGGAGAAAGAATTGTTGTTGTTGTTATTGTTTATTCGAAAGGGTGTCTCAACAGTTTCATCTTTAGGAAATAATTAAGCTGGTCGTTCAAATCGAAGGAAAGGGGAAGTTAGCAAGAACAAGTAGTAAGGTAAAAAAGTGAAGATTGAGGATAAAGAAGGAAGAGATAGGAGGGAAAATTGTGCCCCGCATGTGCAACTTTGCCCGAGTGTGTTGAGGGCTTAAAGGCATTTGACAACATTGTGTGTGCATTATGTGCAGGAGGGTGAAAATATATGTATAAACTAGTCAAACAAAAATAAAATAAAAATAAAGATTTAATTCAAGTACATTAAAAATGAAAATAAAAAAGCACTTTTTATTAGAGGAGATATTCAACGTATGTTGGTGAGATATTTTGATAAACTTTCCAATGAAGTGTCTAAAGATAAGATCAACTTTGGTGATCTTAATATCTTTAATAATAGTAAAACTTTATATTTTTATCGTCGCATTAGTTAAAAGGAATTTGAGGAGACAATTGAAGTGTGAAAATATTTTGGATGAATAAAACATTTTTATCGCTAATAGAAAACTAAGGGTGAAAAGTTTGTAGAATTTAATGATATTCCAATTGAAGTGTGAAAATATTTTGGAGTTTTGAGAGTTTCTTGGCTTACTAAACTCTTTAATATTAAAAAAAAAAACTAAAAAGATGTCTGAGTAGTGTAGGAAGAGTATTTTGGTCCCTTTTTTAAGAGTAAGGGGATGCACAGGAGTGTGCAAATTATAAAGTAATTAAGTTAATGCGTCGTACATTAAAAGTTTGGGAGAGAGTAATTGAACATAGGTTAAAATATGATACAAAAATTTCTCATAATTAGTTTGGAATTATGCCGAGCAAGTCTATCTTGGAAACTATACATTTATTGTGAGGTTTAATGGTGAAGCACAACGATAGTAAGGAGGATCTACATATGATTTTTATTGATTTAGAAAAAAACTTATGATAAGGTTCTAAGAGGAGTTCTTTTGGAGAGTTCTAGAAAAGAAATATGTTGATTCAAGTCATTAAAGGTATGTATGCTAGAGCTGTTGTGTTCGAACAGGAGGATTGATTAAGTATTTTCCTATTTAAGTTGGATTACATTAAGGTTCAACTTTAAGCTTATATCTTTTCGTATTAGTTAGGGATGCTCTTACTGGACATTTACAAGAGGATGTATCTTGGTGTATGCTTTTGATATCCTTCTTGTGGATAATAATAGAGAAAGTTCAGGATAAAATTGAATTATGGAGGCCGACATTGGAATATAAAATCTTTCGTTTGAGTATATCTAAATTTGAATACATGAAATATAATTTTAGTTGTGGTAGATCTAGTGGCTGAGTTGTAACTATGGGGGATCAAATTATTAGAAGGTGTGAACATTTTAGATATCTCGGGTGTTTCGTTCAAAGTGATGGTGATATAAATAAGGATGTTATTAGTAGAATTCAGGTTGGTTGAAGTGGAGGAATGCATCGTGTCTGCTGTGTGATAGAAAAGTACTGCTCAAACTTAAAGGAAAATTTTATACGTTGCTGGTGAGACCTACAATGCTTTATGGCGCAGAATGTTGGCCTTTAAGAGAGAAGCATAAAACTAAGTTAAGTGTTATTTGGATGAGAATGCTTAGGTGGATGACTGGCTTGACACTTAGAGATAAATTTCCATATGAATGCATTCGTAAAAGGGTTGGAGTAGCATCAATGATGGACAAGATTATAGAGAGTCATCTTAGATGGTTTGGTCATATTAAACACCGATCTTCTGATGATCCAGTTAGGAGAGTAGCTGTTTTAGATTCTACTTATGCTAAAGAAGGCAGAGGCAGACCTAAAAAGACTTGGGCATATTATATAAAAAAAATAATAATTTATTAGAATTAAATGAAAATATGACACTCAATAGGACACAATGGAGAAAAAAAATTATTTAGCCGACCATACTTAGTGGGATAAAGACTTATTGTTGTTGTATTATTTTTTTTAGGGTTTGGGTAGTTATGTATTGCATAAACTTATTTAGTTATTTTATTATTTTCCTTCAACTGTATTTGTTGTTGAACTCTAGCTTATGAAATAAGATAAAATTTATTTTTTCTTACTCATTTCAGTTATTACTTGCATATATTCTTTTCTTTTGAGAATACAAAATAGGTTGACATCCTTTCATCACAACCTTGTTGTTGGGATATACGACCTTCTAGATATGGGGTGTGACAATTATAAAATTAGTCAAGTGTTAGAGGTCTTTAATCCATGTGTTCAAAGTTTTATTCTTAGGCTTGAATCAGCATAGTTCCTTTAAGCGATGAATGGGCTTACATAATTCGGGTCACAAATTTATCTATCACAACACATGATACCTATCCATTACAATACCTCTCCATCCCATAGCGTGCAACTTGCACTCGAGAGGAGCGATCCTCTTTTTTATATTTATACTTCAACTCTACTAATAACAGTTTTACTTTATATTTGGTTTTTTATCGGCTTGATTTTGTTTACTTTTGGTTGATACTTCGTTAAACATTAGTGGGTACACTTCCTCCTGTTGACAGGCATTAGGTATAAACTCTGCCATTTCCTACTTCTGTCAGATTTGATGCGATGGCTACACTGCCACAAACCAAATTGGATGGCGCAGCCCAAAGCATTGAAGCGTTGAAGACTTTAATTCAGGTTAGCGTGATGATGATGAAATTTTGTTCCATTAATGTGCCAAAAATTTTTAAGGGCAGCATATTGGCTGAATTAAATCATATGCAGAGCAGTGATGTATCCCAGTTTCTTTGAATTTGGGCACATATTTTTTTTGTGCATGATGTGTTTTATGATAGAAATGTTGAAATCAATTCTGTTTCAATCACTTACCAAGCTAGACTTTTGACACCATTGAAAAAAAAAAAATACAAAAAACTTGACTTTTGACGGTTACTGTTTCATGTATTATTTCTCCCAGAAAGATGAAGACAATTCTCAAAAATTGGCACAAGAGGTCAAGCATCATGAAGACAACCTAAACTATCTCAATGCTCAAGTGAATATCATTGATGAATCCATTCATCGTTTGCAAGGTTAAGTCAATGTTAGCTTGCATCATTTTCTTATGGTGAAATAGACAACTGATGTGTTATTTTATGTTTTTTGTATAGTATTATACACTCGAGGAAAATCATTTATTCCAGATGTAAATATCCATCAGAACTTACCTCATTTCCGACATAGATTTGGGTTATTGGCGGATTATCGACGGATTTTAATCTGTCATATTGTTTTTGGTTGGAAATGCATTCCGATGATTGAGATATCCATCATAAATATTTTTCATCAGGTTTGTGGTTGATAATCCATCCTAAAATTTAAACTGAGACAACTGATGCTAAAGCCACCGACAAGATCACATTCTCCATTGGTAATTTAGGATTAAAAAAAAAAGGCGGAAAATCATCTGATTTGTCAGGAAATGGATTGACTGAAACATTTGTTGATTTGAATGCCTTAGGAAAAAGCCAACTGAAGTGCTGTTGCTAAATCATATATCAACATTAGTGGTGGAAAATCCATCGGAAATCTATTGGTGAAGAAAAAAAATAAAAACCTTATGCAATAGTATTTCTACACCTGCAATAAAAAGACATAAAATACCACATCTCTACTGAGCACGTCTTACAATCATGTAGTACCAAGTAATCATAACCACAATAAAGATAACAACATCAAATATAAATGCAATCCAACACAATAAAAATGCACTCAAAGAAAGTAGAATGCATTTGTCTCAAAAAATACATTATTACATATAATTGTTCTATAAAAATAGAATAAAAACTATATAAAAAAAAGAAACAATCATCCACAATATGCTCATTTTGATCTCCCTCAACCGCTAGTTGTTTTTCCGGGTGGAGTGCGTTGCGTTGCATTTGCTCCATCCTGACTTTCATGTCAGCAAGTCAAGTTTTCTTTTGAACAGTCGCTCGAGCTTCAATGTCTTGAACAAGAGCCACAACACTTGTGCTGCTAGATCATTAACATATATAGAGCTCTCACTAGGGAATGAATTTCATTTATCGTACCCCAGAATCTGAGATCCAAAGCCATATATCCTTCCTTCTTCTTTCCTCTTACTGCTCTCCAGATGTCAAATTCTGAATGCTCAAACCAGCCACTTAAACTTCTAGCACTTGAACTTTGGCTATGAACATCCTTCGTCATCAGGTACTCATCTTACATGAACTTGTATTGTGATTAAAGACAAAGTATATTTGAATACGAATTATAATAATCTAAGAATAAATGTTCCATTTACGTAAGCTTTTTATGACCTGGTGTCGACCTACTATTGGCCCATCCGAGTCTGATATGTTTTACCATGTAACTCAACTGCAGTGATTCTCTTCCAAGTACTTGCTTATGCATTATATGTAAAAATTAGTAAACAATACTTGTAAATTTTATTGTTACACATTAAGTACACCTTATCAATCTTCTCCGATGCTCATTATGTGGAATCAAGCCTTACTGTGTAGAGAGCTACCCATGCCCTCCTGTCCGATGTCTGGTTTTACTTGGCTTATTTTCTCTTAAGAACATCAGGAGAGGTCTAGACTCAACACAACTTAGCGTACCTCCTCTCCAATGTTGAGGAGTCTCTTTCCCAACTTGCGTATGTCTGTATGTGAAAAATGCTTGATTCTTGTGTCTCACGCACAAATATTGAAATTTTTTTCGTTAAACGTATATAGGAAGCTGAGATGCCACATGCACGAAATACTCGACACTATTTAAAAACTCATCAATTAATTAATTTTGTACTTGGATGCAATCTATTATATATCCATGATCTTTCATTATAGATACCTATAAATGACCTATAGATTTGAAAACAAAATTCTGGAAATGGTTACCAGTAATATTAAGAAGTATTGAAATAGGAATAACTTAAGATGAACAAGAAATCATTTAACTAAGTCAATGTTAAGATTATGCAATTAATATATTGTATTAAGCTAGCTAACATGGAGTGACTTACAATTCCATATGTACGTGGGATAATCTATATATCTTTGCGGAATCAGTTACCATTATACATGTTACAATTACATAATTCGAGTATACTTTATTTGGAGATTTATTATAAGATTGATCTTACTATTCTAACTGAGATGTCATGCGACATGCCTGGATATCTATACGTAAAAACAATTCTAAGATCCTGTTTGAACGAACATCAAGTCGAAATTGAGTCTTAGGAGGCTAGTTGATTGGTTACTTCTTGCCCATGCCCTCAATTAATCGAATTAACCTTAATTGACACTGAAGAAATATTTTTTCTAGTTATTTATGTTGACCTAAATTTGAGCCGTGTGTAAAATGAAATATTTAGCCTGAACTTTTTGACTTTTTATAAGCTCGTTTTCAAATAATGGTGTTGTAAAGCTGCAAACATTGTTAAAGTCTCTCATTAATTAATTAATCTAATCCCAACTATATGTAACAACAATTACCGCAAAACCTAAATCAATTTAAAATAAATTCTAACCCGGATTAACAAATCTAAACAAACAATTAGAAGATCTAACCCACAAATGAAAATATAATGTAAAATCAACAAAATTTAGTCAAATATTTAACAAATTTGGGATTAGTTTCAGCATTTAAAAAAAAAATTAAATTGACGAAACCTAGGATTTAATGGATGAAATCTCAAATAAATTTTTCTAAAAGGTAAAAAAAGAGTTACTTTTGATAACACGATGAAAATGAAGAGATTGAAGCTTGAGATGGAAGAGACATGAGGGTTTACGGTGCAACAAATAAAATAACCTGCAGTTTAGTCCATTGGAAAAATTTTTGATTTAATTTCAGTCCAATTTTGCTATAGTGATACTTAAGAATCTTGAACAAGAAACTTTTCTGGTTATTCGCTTTTAGTTTTATGATAATTTTCATGTAATAACCTTGATGATTTGTTCATCTTTATTAAGCAAAATAGTATTTGTCCCCTCATGCTGTTCTTGATCTGAGAGCATGCGTTCTAATAGCTTCAGAAAATATACTTGATTTTGAACTCAGAATGACATTTTAGGTGAACTTAGAGAGTGCTGTTCATCAAGCACGGGCAAAGGGGATAACAGTGTTTCTGTTGTAAACACCGGAAAACAGTTGAATGATCAAGTAATACAGCTGTATGAAACAGCAGCTGGTGTAATGTGCGAGATGAAAGATCGGCATGGTTCAATGTTATCTACATTAAAATGCACCAAAGATGTTCTTGGAATTGTTGCTTCACTTGGAAAAGTAGCCGATGAGAACCTCAGCAGGCTAGTTTCTTCCTTCAAATTCGTTTTACATTTTGCTGTTGTTTCATCGGTTTAGTTTCTTTTCCTATTTCTAGCTAGGAAGATTTACGGGGATGCCACTCAATTTCATTGTATTTACATATCTAACACCTAAACTTCAATTTTTAGATTTATGCCACCTTATTTGTATGAAAAGTTATATTTTACTTTTAAAAAGTTATAATAGTGATATTGTTTATGTACTATAAAAAATTAGGGTGGTAGAAATCTACGCAAAATTTAGGTGTTAGATATATAAATACATATGAATTGGGTGGTACGTATATAAATGCATTTGCATATTTTATATGAAGTTTGTTTTCCACTAGCATAAATTCCTATTCTAAATCTTCTTCTCTAGTTGAGTACAATCACATTACTAGATGATGGTGCTGCATATTAATTAGGGTCTGTTTGCTGCGCAGTAGTCAGCTGTTGCACAAAAACTGCTACGAAGAAGCTGGTTGTCTGTTTGTTTTTTATAATTTTGAAACAGCTGTGTTGTAGCTATTTCTGATCTAATGATCTTTCCGCCCCTATACTATAGTGCTATTTATAACATAACTAATTCTACTAGAACATTCTATATTTGAAAGCAAATATCTGGTTTGAATATTACAAAATAAAAGCACACATCACAAAACAGTGAGTAACACAAATAAAGTTAAAAAAAAAGACTATTAAAATAATAATTAATAATATGATAATGTTGTTTTTAAAACGCATTTGGTTTGTGTCATGAGATAAGTCATCGTTCAAGGAAGCTCTCCATGCCCGATCACTCTTGGTGGTGGAATCTTTCAACTCATCCGCCCACTTAAAGAAGTCACAACTCTTCATTCTTTTCCTCGGACACCTGTAAAACTCTCTCTCGTAGTTATGTGGTTGTCGCGAAGTAAACATGGAACATTATAGTCCATAGTAGCAGTACAATACTCTGGAGGTATCGAAAGTCATCGTGCACATCTCTTCTGAAGGTTTAAAACTTCACAACACAAAAGCTTAAATGCAACATTAATGAAAATGAATAATCAAGTAATTAATTCAAGTTTGATGAAACCGTTAGGTTTCAGAGAATGTAGTATAAACCAACGAATCTGTTATTACAAGAAAATAATAGACCTTGAAAAGGATTCTTGATTGCCTTGAAATCACGTAATATCGAGCTCGTATGTATCACATATGCATATCAACAAAAAAAGCCACAGAAGTATCTCAAAAGCCATAGGACTGAAAAAATAGAGGAACTTGGTTGCCTTAATTTGGATTTCACGTGTCAAGAACCAATAGTAACATATATGCCATCCAGGAGAATCCTTGAGGTCAAATATCTCATCATAGCCTCCAAAATCAAAAAATAAAACATGCAATACTTAAATTACATACTAGATCCACTATTACCTCATCGACTATCCAAGTGGAAAAAATACATGTATAAGAATTGAAAATACACATCATTTGTATAAAACATCGATACAACAAAGAATAAAAATTTTAACAACACATTGCAAATAAAGTAACAACAAAAAAAGCATAGAATCCCTCCATTTAGTCTCCAATTACGTCATCTGTAATTCACTTCCTCAACTTTATCATCTCTCTTGCACCTTCCCCATCCTGGGTGCAAGTCTTAGGCATATCACTTTCAGCTTGTGATAAAGATTGTCTTATTCGATATTCATATACTTCAACAGGGACATATGAATGATCTTCATCAACACTGTTGATGTCAATGTCGTTGCATGAAGGATGTCGACGAATATAATTGTGAAGAGTCATTGTGGAGACCACAATTTACACTTATTTAGGAAACGAATATGTCGATATATCCAACAGTACGATCCATTTCTTCTTCCAGACTTCAAATGTCCTTTCAGTTACATCGCGTAAGGATAAATATCTCTTGTTGAACATCTTTTTCTTGCCCCTATTGTCCTTGCTAGCTCTCTCAAAATCAAGAATGAGATATTTTCTATCAGTAAAGAGTTTGAGATACCCTTTTTGTAATATCCAACGCCAACCAAATAATATTTTCCTGAAATAATATTACTTATCAGTATTGCATGAGATATTAGTATTTCATTTGTTAATATTCAAGCTAACCTGGAGGTTGCTGTGGAAAGTTATTCTTTTGACTTCGCATAACAAAATTGAAAATACGACTGTCGTGTGCACTGTTTTTCCATCTAGTTATTACAAATGCGAAACATATATTAAAATAACATAAAGCCATTACATTTTATATTTGCGAACCTCATCATCTAATGTATGTAATCTTTTAATTGTTGGGCAGACACGAGTCCACGTGTGTTTCTTCAATCGCTCCAATACAATCTTAAACTAGTTATCAAATATATTAGAGATATCATGTTCAAGCAAATTTAGAGAAAGATGATTACAAGAAACTACCTTAAAATATGACTTATAATGCTGGTCTTATGAAATCTGTATGGGTGTACTTTGGAATGTGGGGTCTTCAGGTATTATAATTTTTGATAATAAGCTACAGAGTATTTAGTCTTACTGGAAAATATTTGTTGATTTTTTCAGATGAGTGTTGGAATCGCTCTATGACACATCTCATGGACTCATTTTGTGATAAAATATCGAAGGTTATGACTAACAGTTCCCTTTAAGTCATCCTGGATGAAAAATGAAATCTATGATTTATATGCGATTTTTCTAATAGATCAATAAAAAAAGAATTTTTCATACAAAATATGTTAAACCTTGTGGGGCGGTCCACAAGAAACTCACCAACATATTTGTCGTCTATTTTCGTAGATGTCATATAAGGAGATCGAATAACGTATGAGTTGCAATTTTTGTACATCAAATATAATGCAACTGCAATTTATCTTGCACATTTCTCTATCTTTGATATTCATTTTTTATTCAACTAGCACTTAAAAAAGGTCTGAATTAGAAAAAAATGTATTGAACATTAAAAAACAACATATAAATGACACTCTACTGCAAGAATTTCATTAAAAATGTCCAAAAAAAAGGATGAAAACAAAATCCAAACATGCCAAAAATTATAGATAATGTTCATGCTTAAAATCCCACATAAAGATGTCCATGAAATAATATGAATTTCATGCATCTTGATTGTCGTTGTAATAACATAAGTAATTAATCCTACTGTCAGGTTTCATCGACATAAAAAACTCTCTTGGTTAGGTCTTCTAACAACTTCATGGAGAACAAGTAAAATGACATGTCCTAATTATTTTTTGGATTATCTTCTGGAATTCACATAACCTGTTGATAGAAGTACCATGTGATCCGCTAGGCTCATTGGTGCATGAATCCACTAATTGAGAGATCTGACTTTTAATGACAGCAACAACATCTTTTTCCCTTTTTTCTGCTCTTGGAGGTTTGGATCGATTGGTAGATTCTACTTCACTTAGATTGAGGTAGGACCCCTCATTGGACCCAGTGAATTGCTCTGGTTCTAAATGCTCAGATTTGCCACTGTGTCGTCTCTTGCTTTGTGCCCATGCTTGATCACCAGTGGCCACCACTCCACTGAACATACGATCCAACTTATCTTCAAGCTTAGGGTCAATGCCACCAAACTTGAATTTTTATGCAGCTGACATGACCTACAAATCAATCAATAAAATTTAAATTGATCAACGAGAACCTTAAAAATTTTGAATGAGTTCACGTTTCAAACATTCTCATATCCAATATCTCAAACCACAATTCTTCAGAAGCATTGATGATTCATTTTATAGGATCTCAACCCAAGTCTGTGGATCCTCGCTTTAGCTATTTCCATATTCTCAAGTCATTTTTTAATTGATTTCATTTGTTTTAAAATTGCATTCTATATTCTCTTCATGTGATTTTCTTAACCAGTTTTATTATATTCTGCAAACCTTGTTAAAATAGGTGGATGGCCTATTTCCAATTCAACTTCTTAACACAGAGCTCACAGAATGCTAATATTATTTATTTCAAGTAGCAGATGAACCGATTTCTTTTGTCTTGCCCATTACGACAACTTGCATGTGAAGAACTAAACAACATAAATTTATGGGAGATACAAAAAAAAAAAAGAAACAAAAACATCTGCAACATCATCACCGCATCACAACCACCACACCACCACCTTCACACCACCTCCAAACACCACACCAACACCTTCACACCACCTCCAAACACCACACCAACACCTCCACTGCACACCCCACCACCTCCACACCACATCCACACACCACACCACACCACCACCTCCACACCACATCCACACACCACACCACCATCTCACCTCCACACCACCTCCACACCACCATCGCCTCCTCACCAATCGCTAAATCCTTCATTGTGGGAAACCACCACAATATCTCAGACCGAATATTGAGCAACAATCAATATCACAGTACAACCTCCCAAATCCATCAATCGAATAGAGCACAAAGAATCCAGACAATCAAACCGAATATAGCATAGAGAGTCCAATAAAATCACAAAATTCAAAATCAAGCTCAACCACCCAAATCCATCATCCGCATAGAGCACAGAGAATCCTAATCCATCAGCTGGATATTACACAGAGAACCCAAACCATCAGTTGGATTTAACACGAAGAGCCCAAACCATCATCCGAATAAAGCACATAGAACCTAAGGGATTCTCAAAATTCAACATCACAATACAACCACCGAAAACCATCAACCAATTAGAGCACATAGAACCCTAAACCGTCAATCAAATATAACACAAAGAACAAAAATTAATCACAAAATCAAAATGCCCGAATATATAATGGTAGATAATACCCTGGGGCGACAGAAAGAACAAAGGGAAGAGGGAGAGGAGAAGAAAGGTAAGCTCACCACATCAACCACCGGAACTAATCTTAACCACCATAGCCACGGATCTGAGAGGTTCGAGAGAGGCGATGTTGCCTTTAGGGCAAGAATCGCGAGAGAAGGGAGAGTGGCTCATGAGGGTGAAGAGCGGGACAC